AGTTCAGAGGCAGATAACCTGGGCAGGTGGGTCTGTTGACAAATCATAGAAGGAAGATACTTTGAACCAAGTGAGACTGGGTGAGTCATTTGCAGGTGAAGCCCTCAGGATGCACTAATGTGGTGAATGGGAGAGGAAGGGCAACTTCTAGGGATGTTCCCATGGCTTTTGACCTCAATCCCCAAAACTCCAGTGTGTGTGTGTGTGTATATATATATATATTACTCATAATCACTAACAAAAATATAGTATGCATTTTCTAGAATCTTAGATTTTTTTTTAGTTCTACATGGACACAATACCTTTATTTATTGATTGATTTTTATGTGGTGCTGAGAATCGAACCCAGTGCCTCCTACATTCTAGGCAAGCGCTCTGCCACTAAGCCACAACCCCAGCCCTAGAATCTTAATAGTCTCAGTAATCTTAATAATACCAGGACCTCCTTACATCCTTGCTCCAGGGTCACATCAGTGAGGCTCTCCCCAACCTCCCCATCTTAATCTGCAGCCCCATCCACACTTCCTGTCCCTCTTACCCTGTTGTATTGTATTTCATAACTGCATAGTTGTTGGTGTGTGGTGCAAATTAAAATGGGAGAGCCTTAAGAATTGAGAATGTCAAGAAGGCTGTCAGTGTGAGGCCCCTCTGGGTTCCTGGACTGTCACACATCCATATATAAGCATGTGGGGTGGTCCTTTGTTGTCCACCCCTCCAGGGACGTGTATAAGTCTGTGAAAGGTGTGGGTGTCTGTGTTTTGTCCCCTGCCATCTCTCTCATGCCGAGTATAGGACCTAGCATGTGGTAGACACCCAATACAGTAAGTACTGTTGAATAAGTAAAGGGGTTAATGGCAGGTTAGCATTGCATACCATGACCCCACCAGAATTTTCTGAAGCGGTCTGTTAGAGTCTGTAAACAAGTCAAAATAACACCTGGCATTTTGCCAGGGGAATGTTAGAGTTCGTAAACAAGTCTGGATGGTGCCTGGCAAAATGCCAGAGGGAGTGGTTTGAGAAGTAACAAAAGCGACCCGTTGAGTGTGGAGATTCCTTATTGGTTGACTGATGTATCTAGTTTATGCTAATTAGATAAGCTGTGTGGAATGTATAAATACTGCTCCTGTCCTGCAATAAACGGCTCCTACTCCTGCTGTATCAACGTTCACAAGTTATTCGTCACCCCCTGGTTATTTTGCTGCAGCCGGACTGCGGCAGCGGTCTTTCTTTATTTTGCTTCCTTCATCATGCAGCAATAAAAATCCTCCTCTTACAGAGTTTCTCATCTTTGGATTAATTCTCTAAGATTGATTGTCAGAATAGACTGTGTGCAAGCCCTTCCTTTCCAAAAATGTCATTTGCTAAATACAGTTGGCTGGATGACTTTACATTGAATTTTGACAGTTTTTATTTATTTGTCATCCAAGAAAGAACTTTCATTCTTTTAACATTCATGTTTATGAAAAACCTCTTTTTTTAAAAAAAAAAAAGTTGGGGGGAGGATATTTTCCTTTCTCTTCAAAAATTCCATTGTAAGTGTTAAAAACATTTCTTTTCCTATTGAGTGTTTTAATTTTGTTTCAGGGAGTCATCAACAAAGAAAGAATAATTAAGTCAATCTTACTATTTATTCAATAAATATATTCTATTTTTCCCATGTTTTCTTGTTTCATTGGAGTTTTTTTTTTTTTTTTTTGGAACCGGGGAATGAACTCAGGGGCACTCAACCACTGAGCCACATCCCCAGCCCTATTTTGTATTTTATTTAAAGACAAAGTCTCACTGAGTTGCTTAGAGCCTGGTTTTGAACTTGTGATTCTCCTGTCTCAGCTCCTGAGCTGCTGGGATCACAGATGTGAGCCACTTCACTGGATTATTGATGTTTCAATACTTTGTCACTACTTCAGTTCTCTGCTTAGACTACAATTTGGGAAAGAAAAAAAAAAGCATGTTCTCTGTGCTCCCCAGTGATTATTAGAAGTTGTTCTTTAAAACTTTCAGTAATTATTAGAAGTACTGCCAGAAGAAAAGCTCCAGAGACTTGCAATCCTAATTTTCATTATGCAAACTAATTTTTTAGTTATTCAAATCTATGACGCTCGTAGTGCCCAGAGCTTATGCCCGTTGGCAGATTGATGGGTTCCATAGGTGGCGGTCACCAAGGGCTAGCAGTGTCTCCATACCAAAGCCCAATAGCACCAGGTCTAAGTAAGATGGGATTAGGTCAAGGCGTCACAAGCTTGTTTTACAGTGTTTTTTGGATGATAAGTGGGATTTCCGTGCTCAGAGTTAGAGGTCCCCACAGCAGGATTTTGCAATTGTTTCACCCTTTTACTCCCACTTCCTGCTAAGGGTGCTCGTATAGAACACCCTTGAAAGTCCAAACTGGTTGCGCAGGGCCACAGGGTAAATTCAGCCAAAATCAAAGGCTGCGTTCCCTTGGAAGCTCTAGAGAAGGGCCCATCACTTGCCTCTTCCAGCCTCTAGAGCCTAGTGGCATTTCTTAGCTCCTGGTCCCTCCACTGTGGCATCTCCTCCTCCCATTCTGACTCCAACTCTCCTTTTTCCCTCTTAGAGAGACACTTGTGGTTACATCGGGTCCACTGAGATAACCCAGATGCTTGCCCCTTCTTGTCATCTGTAAATCAATCACGTTGGCAAAGTCCCTCTTGCAGGTGTATAATGTCATAGGGTCCTGAGATTAGGAAGTGGACGTCTTAGGTGTCACTATTCTGTGAACCCGGAAGCTCCCTGTGCAGCCCCTGCAGGGCTGCTCACACGTGAGGTGACCAGCCCTTGGTTGACCTGCCTCAGGCACCACTGAGCTGCCAAGGGACAGAGGGTATTTGTATCTCCAAGCCTACGTAGGGCCCCTGAGGAAACTTTTGTCATAGGTGTATAATGACGTAGGAGCAGCTATTTGCCACAGGAAGGAGAGGGAGGAGCCATTCTGAGTCCTGGAGAGGGCCAGCATCGCCAGTGCCTTGCCCTTCCTGCCCCCGGCCCACCTTGCGACCTCCGGCTGCCAGCACCTGCGTTTCTTCCCTTAAGCACCTTCTCCTGCAGTCAATCTCCTTGGCAGGCTGGAGCGCTGAGGCTGTTAGTCAGCTTCCCGTTGCTGTGACAACATACCTGAGATTAACCTAAGGGGGAAAGGCTTCTTTTGGCTCATGGTTTCAGAGATTCCACTCCATGGTCCCTTGGCCCTGTGCTTTGGGTGGCCCAGAACATCATGGCGGGAGCAGGTGGTGAAGGAGGCCTGCTCTCCTCCTGATGGCCAGGAGGCAAAAGAGAGAGGGGACCAGTGTTCCAATATCCTCTTCAAGGGTATGTGCCCACGATGACCTAACCTCCTCCCTCTTGGCCCCGCCTCTTAAAGGTTACACCACCTCCTAATAGCACCAGAGGCTGGTGACAAAGCCTTCACACAGGCCTTTGGGGTACACTCCAGATAGATCCAATCCATAGCAGAGGATTGACACCCCCAGGGCCAGCCCTCCACTAATGACAGATGGGAGGAGCGTGGGTATGAATAGCCCCAGCAACCTCATCTCCCAGGTGACATAGATCTGAGGCCTGTTCTCCCTTCAGGGTTCACCCAGAAAAATGAAGCCCCAGACATACAAGTGGTGGCTGTGTGGCAGGACACCTGTTAGTGACTGTTTGTCTTTCCCTGCTTTGTGTTCTTGTCCCTCCAGGTGTTTCCTTGAGATCCCCTCTTCTGGGGGAAGCCAAGGTAAGACCTGAGAGGAAACTCTGAACAGAGAGGAGAGCAAAGCCTGTGTGGACACATCTGCAAACCCTCTCTCCTTGAACCCCTCTTAAAGACCAACCAGGCAGGGGAAGGTGGAATAGCAAGTCCTTGACACATCACGGGTGGTTCCAGGTGTGAAGTTGGTGTCTCTTTTCCAGAGTGCACCCTGGGTAGATTCCACACCCCTCGGAGAAGCTGCACATGCAGAGGCTAGAGTGGGGGTACTGATGGTGGCAGAGCAAGTCCACGCAGAGGGAGTGGGACCAGCTCATTCCACCACCCCGCGGCTGCCCCCCCCCCCCCCGCCCCATGCTCCAGAGCACTTCCTCAGGCTATGCTAACCTTCCTGAACCTGAGCAGGGAGCGGGAGCATCTAAGAGCATTCACAACAGGGTCATGGCAGAAAGAGGAAGGAGACAGAGGAATCCAAGAGCCAGCAGCCACAACAGAGCAGCAGTAGGTAGGGCGGGAACAAAGGTGTGTGATGATCATCTGAGCAGAGGCCAGCAAGGGCCCACTCAGTCCTCCTCGCCTCCAGTCCTGCCTACCTCAGGCCAGGTGCCCTCCAGAGAGAAAGGAAGCCAGGGAGGAGGGTCTCGTCCTGATCTGACTGAACAGATACTTCCAGAAAAGGTGACTCTTGAGCTGGCCGGGGAGTGACGGAGTTGTTGGCAAAGTTAAGTTTGTCCTTTTGCTAATGTTTAAAAGAAATGGGAAGTTCATAAATCTGAGGATAAAATATTATACCTGTCACTAGAGAAGGTATTTTGTTTCCTATTATTTGAACTGTTATTTCATCTTGATTCCATGGAAATAACCCTAGGGAGCAGCAGGTTTATTAGATAATGTGGAATAACACAAATATATTAAACCCAAACCGCTGCATTTCTACACACACACACACACACACACACACACACACACACCACTCCTCTGAGTTGCTCTGCTCTTAAGGAAGTGAGAAGGTGGGAGCCATCCCAGAAAAGAGACCCTGGAGTCTCCAGTGTCAGGAGGTGGGTAAAGCTTGGGGAAGGGTGTGCAGGCATGAGAGAGGGAAATTAAGGAATCAGAGAGAACTTTCCTGGCTCCCTCCTTTGGACCAATGAACTCAGACAAATCAGGTGGAGCCTCAAAACATAGTATATGATATGAAGGAATTATTCTTGATTTTGTTTATTATAATGATAGCAATGTGACTATGGAAAAAGTGAATATGCCCTTCTGTAAACACATGCTGAATATTATGGGAAAGGGGATGTGATATTTTGAATTTGCTTCCAAATATTCCAGCAAAAAGAAATAGATAAATAAATTCATTTTACAAGAATGGGGATGGAAGAGATCAGATTATCACAGTGTATGAAAATGGTCGAGATTGTGTGGTAGGATATAGGTGCTTATATTTGAAGATGCTCCTGTCAATCACCAATGTTGAACCCAAATCAGCAACATTCTTATAAAAATAGCACTAATAATGCTTGTTTGCTTTTAAGATTTCACTAAGCACTTGAGTTTGGAAGGATTATAGAAAATGATCTTGAATCCAGCTTTACCTTTTACCTTTGCTCTTTTCTTCTTATCTGCCTCCTTAAAGAAATTGAGGAAGTGCTAAAGGGGACAGGGAATGCAGGTGTCCCCATGGAAACAGGGAGGAAGATGGAGGCGTTCAGAGCTTGGGCTCAGGGTAAGTTCTATTAGTCCTGCCTCCTCTGTCTTTTCTCTTCTTCAGAGCCTGGAACCCGGGCCCTTCCATCTCTACACACGCATTACTCTAAATCCAGGAATGAGTGGATCAAGGGAGATGAAAAGGAAATGCATGAGTGTCAGTGCTACAAGGGCAGAATGGAAAAAATAGGAGCTTCCTCTGCAGTAGATATAAATACCTGTGTCTCTTCTTCACATGGTCGGTGAAGCTTTTTGCTACCTAGATACTATTTTTATTTATTTAATGTTTTTGTGCCAGGGATTGAACCCAGGGGTGCTTAACCACCGAGCCACATCCCCAGCCCTTTTTATTTTTTATTTTAAAACTGTCTTGCTAAGTTGCTTAGAGCCTGGTTAAGTGGCTGAGGCTGGCTTTGAAATTTCAATCCTATTGCCTCAGCTTTCCAAGCTGCTGGGATTACAGGTATGCACCTGGCTCTCCAGATGTTTTGAAAGTTTAAAGAGATGCAATTCTGTGGGACTTGGCCATTCTCACCTGAGAAAATCTATGGGCTCAGATGGCCACCGTCATCTCTGGGAGACATTCGAGAGCTGGGATTGTGGCTCAGTGGTAGAGTGCTTGCCTTGCAAGTATGAGGCACTGGGTTCAATCCTCAGCACCACATAAAAAATAAATAAATAAATAGAGGTATTATGTCCATCTACAACTAAAAAATAAAAAAAGAGCTCATACTTTATATGTCAACCAGCTTCAAACTCAATTTTAACAGTTTCTTCCCTTGTGTCATTGTGGCCTTCTTGCACAATGACACGGGCAAGATCAGCTGGCCAAGCATACAATGTATTTTTCTTCAAATAAACTCTCTGCAGCCTAGGATCCTTTGAATCAAATCTGCATTGTCAGAAAGCTTGCCCCACCCCCTTATAAGTTTGCCCTTTCATTAGATGCTGTAAAATACTTAATTAGGTAGAAAAGTTATGTTAAAGGTATAAAAGGGCTTTCTCTTTGAGCTATGGATCTTCTCTAAGGGATGAAAGTAAGGCACAGACTTTAAGTGAAAAGAAAAGCAGTTTCGTGGATGCCACAAAGAGGAGTAAATAAGGCTGTAATTAAATTGCCTTCTGTATCATTGTTTGTTCTGATGCTTCCAGCACAGCAATGAGTCTCAAAAATAAAGGCTGCCAGAGTGCTGAGAACTATTAAAGGTCTCAAGTTCCAACCTAACACCAGGGATAGTCTTGACCTCTACGGACAATGAAAGCCAAAGATGGTATAAGTCTGAACACACAGTATTTAACCCTATCTTGGAGTGAAAGAAGAGGTATCTTAGGTTCTCACAGTTTGTGGGAGCTGAGACCCAGCTTCTGAGACTCTATTCTCTATGACATTTGTGTAAAGATCTAAGTGACAAAATGCGTCACAGACCATATGCCCATGCTAGTTTCTCCTGTGTGTGATCACCAACTGAAAAATTTGAAGGAAAAGGGAATTTCATGAAAACATTTCAGGCTATTATCAAATTATCACTCTTGGGTTCTCTTGATTTTGTTCAAGATGCAAATAGATTTTGTATCTCTTTATAATCTCAAGTATTTTGGCCCCTACATTTGATCAAAACAAAGGTAAACAGGAGAAGTGGTGCTAGTAAAATCCAGATGTAAATGACATCTACTCATCTTTGAGGAGCTTCAGGGCACTTACACTTTTTGAGTGTGTGTGTTTATGGTAAAAAGCATATACCATCAAATTTACCATCGCAGCCATTTCAAGCAATCAGTCCAGTGGTGCTAAGAGTTTTAATATTGTTATGCAACAAATCTTCAGAACTTTTTCATCTTGCAACTCTGAAACTGTACCCACTGAACAGACGTTCCCCCTTACCTCCAGTTCGGTTTCTATGACCATCACCACCTTACATACCTTATATATATGAAATCATATAAGATTTTTATTTTTTGTGGTACTGGGAATTGAACCCAGGGCACTCTATCACTGAGCTACATCCCAGCCCTTTTTAAATTTTATTTTGAGACAGGGTCTTGCTTTGTTGCCCAAGCTGGCTTTGAACTTGGGATCTTCCTGCCTCAGCCTCTCCAGTTGCTGGGATTGCAGGTGTGTACCACTACACCCAGTCGAATTATATAGTTTTTGTCCATTTGTGGCTGGTTTATTTCACTTAGCATAATGTCCTCAAGTTTCATATATGTTGTAATATGTGTCAGAATTTCCTTCCTTGTTAAAGTCTGAGTAATATTCTATTGAATATGTATGACACATTTTGTTTATCCACTCATCCATTGATGGACATTTTGGATTGCTTCAGTCTCTTGGATATTATGAATAATCCTATCTGCATATGGGAGTGCACATATCTCTTCAAAATACTAATTTTAGTTCTTTTGCATTTATACCCAGGAGTGGGGTTGTTAGGGCATATTTGTTCTATTTGTAATTTTTTGAGTAAATTCCATACTGTTTTCCACAGCAAATGCTCCATGTTAGAATCCCAATAGCACAGAAGGGTCCTAATTTCTCCAAATCCTTGGTAACACTTGTTTTTTTCTGTGTTTTTAAAAATAGTAATCTAATTCTAATGGGTGTGAAGTGACATCTCATTAGGGGTTTGAATTTTGTTTTTCTGATGGTTTGTGATATTGAACACCTTTTCCTGTGCTTGTTGGCAATTAGTATATTTTCTTTGGAGGAATATCTATTCAAGGACTTTGCCCATATTTAAATTAGATTATTTGATTTGTTGTTGCTGAATTGCAGTTTTTCACATATTCTGGATCTTTCTTATTTATTTATTTGTTTGTTTGTTTGTTCTGGGGATTGAACTCAGGGGCTCTTAACCATTGAGCCACACTGGTTGTATTTTGTATTTTCTTTAGAGACAGGGACTCACTGAGTTGCTTAGGACCTTGCTAACTTGCTGAGGCTGGCTTTGAACTCACAATCCTCCTGCCTCAGCCTCCAGGGGCACTGGGATTACGACATGCCCCACCACATCTATCATATTCTGGATCTTAAGTCCTTATCAGATATGAGATTTGGAAATGCTTTCTCCCATAGGTTGCTTTTCACTATGTTAAATATGCTCTTTGATTCACAAGAGTTTGTAAATTTGATGTGGTCCCATGTATCTATCTTGCTTTTGTTGCGAGTCTTTTGCTGTTGTATCCAAGATCAATGTCATGAAGCTTTCCCCCTATGTTTTCTTTTAGGAGTTCAATTGACTTGTTTTTAATCCATTTTTATTTCATTTTTGTATATTTTACAGAATTAGAGTTCAAGTTTGTTCTTTTGTACAAGTGTATATCCACTTTTCTCAACACTATTTGTTGAAAAGACTGTCACTAAATGATCATGGTATCCTTATCAAAGATCATTTGATTACACATTTGAGAGATGTTTCTGAGCTCTGTATTCTATTCCTTTGGTCTGTTTGTCTGTCTTTATGACAGTACTGCATTATTTTTTGGTGTGTGGTCAGGTGGGGAGATAGTGCTGGGGATTGAACCCAGGGCCTCACAGCAGAGGGAAGCAGCTCACATTATGGTGATCAAAAAGCAGAAAGAGCCTACTCTCCAGATACAAAATATATACACCAAAGCCACTCCTGAATTCCCACTTCCTCCAGCCACACCCTGCCACTTCAGTTACCAATCCCTGTCAGGGGATTAAGTCACTGATTGGGTTAAGACTGTCATAACCCAATCATTTTTCCTCTGAACTGTCTTGCATTGTCTCACACATGAGCTGTTGGGGACACCTCACATCCGAACCATAACATTAAGTTAAGAGCTCTTCCACTAAGCTACTTCCCAGTACCACACATTTGGATTACTGTAGCTCTGTAATATGTAGTAGAATCAGGAGGCTGGGTGTGGTGGTCCATGCCTGTAGTCCTAGTGGCTCAGGATGCTGAGACAGGAGAATGGTGAGATCAAAAAGCTAGCCTCAGCAATGGGGAGGCGCTAAGCAACTTAGTGAGACCCCGTCTCTAAATAAAATACAAAATAGGGCTGGGAGTGGGGCTCAGTGGCCGAGTGCCCCTGAGTTCAATCCCTGGTACCAAAAAAAAAAAAAAAAAAAGAATCAGGAACTATGAGTTCATGAGTTCTCTTGTTTTGCTCTTTTTAAACATTGTTTTGGCTTTTGGGGGTCCCTTGAGACTCCATATGAATTTTAGGATGAGTTTTTCTATTTTTGCATAAAATACCATTGGGATTTTGAGAAAGATGATGCTGACAGTCTCTGTTCTTCATTAAATGCAATGGAGACTCTAATAATAAAGTAGCAAAATCCACTGAGGCAGCAGACAAATGCTTGATCATTAGGAGTATATATAATTTTTCTCAGCCTCTTTGTGAAGTAAAATTGTCATAGCAAAAAATTATGCAAGTAAACACTTTATCTTATTTTTTCTTATATCTATAGATAGTTTAAATGGACTCCATTAGAAAAAAGTGAGAGAACAATTGATTGCTTTAATCATAGCAGCCTTAATAATAATGATGATGGCTATTACCATAGTATCAGACAATTTGCTTAGTTTTCTGTTATAAAGCATTTACATCCCATTGTCTTATTCTATTTTGGTCTGAAATTGCATTGCCCAATGTTACAGTCCCTGAAATATTAATTCCTCAAAAAGGGATTTTGTGATTAAATAATTTGGGAAGCATTCCAAACCACATTCTATAGTCTGCACTTAAAGATTGATTATTAAGTGCTCTGAGAAGTACTGTTGCAGAGATGTAAAGCTCTATTTTATATAATGTAGTATAAACCAAGCTTTAATGGCCACACATTTTTTAGTAAGCCTATTTATGAATCTAAAGGATGAACTTGAAGGAAAGAATTTTACTTTATCTATTTATTGTTGTGCTGGGTATCAAACCCGGAGCCTCATGCATGCTAAACAAGGGCTCTGTCACTGAGACACATCCCCAGCCTAAGGCAAGAGTTTTAAATAAACATCTTTTAGATACCATCTAGATTGTAAGGACTGAGAT